TGCTCTCTCTGCTCGCCCTCCCCTTCTTCGAGGGATCCTCCCCCTCGTCCCCCTCTTCCTTCTTCTCCTCATCCTCCGCATACTCCGCCTCCTCCTCCTCCTCCACCTCCGCATCAACATATTATCAGTATTACCATTATTATTATCATTATTGTTATTGTTATTGTTATTGTTATTATTATTATTGTTATTGTTATTGCTATTGTTATTATTATCATTATTATTATTATTGTTATTATTATTATTATTAATAATATTATTATTATTACTATTACTATGATTATAATTATTATTATTACTATTATTATTATTATTATTATTTCTCCTCGTCCTCTTCCTCCGCATCATCTTCCTCCTCCTCCGCCTCCTCCTCCTCCTCCTCCTCCTCCTCCTCCCGACACGCGTCACAGACATCAAACTTCGGAGGTCCGCACGGACTTTGTGGGTCGGCGCCAGGCCGCCCCCGGCGGCGTCTCCGCCGCCGCCCCTGGCGCGCTTATAGCACGCCCGAGGGGAGGGTGCAGCGCCGACCCATGGATGTCCTCCTCCTCCTCCTCCTCCTCCTCCTCCTCCTCCTCCTTCTCCTCCTCCTCCCTGAGACCCGTATACCAAGCACAGGGGGGCCCCGCTCTCCGCAGGGACCTCCGCCTGCTTGTCTGTACATTATTTGTTGCTCTTCTTCTGCCATGGGGGCCAGGCCAGGGGCGTCGGGAGGCCCGGCGCGCGGTTGGCCTGCGCATTCATCGCCGTCGTCGCCGTCGTCACCGCCGCCGCCGCCGTTGTCTTCGTCGTCGTCGTCGATCGTCGATTGTCGTCGTCGTCGTCGTTGGCGTCGTCGTCGTCGTCGCCCGAGCTCCGCGGTGGTGCCGGAGGCTGCGGCCCCGCGGCCTCGCATGGCTGGTCTGCCCGGCCCCTCGTCTGGTCGCCGCCCGTCCCCTCGCCCGGCCGCCCAGCGGCCGACGGCAACGCCCAAAATCTGAGCCTGCGTCCAATGGCCAATATTGGCACACCCCTCGCACGGATGGCGCCCCTGGGGTCGGAATGGATTTCTTTTGTCCCAGATTAGAATGCTTCTGACCGGCGTTAAAGAATTTGTTGGCCGAGGAGAAGGATTTGTTCTGACCCAGGGCCCTGCTGGGAGGAGATGGGATACTGCCATCGCGCGTGCAATATTGCGTCAGTGTAGTCTATTAGCGACTCATCTGAGGGCATTTTTCAATGTGTCCGGCACTGACTATCAGGTGGTGGATGTGGCTTTGATTGTCCAGATATGTGTGGGGCGGGGGAGATAATGCACGAACCTCTCGGCGAGAGCCCCCCCCCATATATATATATATATATATATATGTGCACATATATATATACATAGATATTAGAATAATGATAAGAAGAAATGAAGTGGCAACAATCACGGGCATCTTTGCGTCGGCCCATCCTGACTTGTTGTTAGGGCACCGATCGATTGGCCATATCACCTTCGACGAACGCTCAAGGTATCGCATTATTTGGCCCGGCGCTGTAGCGCGCCACCGCGGGCGCCAGCACTGTCACGATGCAGCGGGACATGGGGGGATGGGGGGTGCGTGTGGCGCGGGGGGGGGGGTCACCCGGGATTTCCCTGTCGCCCGCGGGTCTAATGTTCTCTGCCCGCGAAAGTTTTCTACTTTTCCGCAGCCTCTTCGCGCCGCTTAGCCTGCCAAGGTGATCCGAGCCTGCCAGGGTGATCCGAGAGGGTCTTTGCTGTCAACCGCGCACGTCGAACGAAAGCGTATGTTTTCCCATCCGACGCGTCTTTGAAACCAACTTCCCGAGGCAACGGCCATCCTGCCAGTATCGGTAGAACGTGAAAGGAGGAGGAGCAGGAAGAAATCGTGTGGCATGGGTCACGCGTCGCCCCGCGCGCCCAGGTCGCCCGCGCTCAACCGGCTGCCTGGCATGGGCGGCAGAAGGAGCGAGGAGGAAAGCGACTTCGACTTTGGTGGGGGCCCTAGCTCTCGAACACTGCGTGACCATGAACTTCCGGAACTCCGATCCGATCAGCGCTGGGCCCCCTAGCGGCGCCCCCGGCACCGCCCATAGTGCGCTCCGCGCGCTGGGGAGGAGGGTACAGCGCCGATCCAAGAAATCCGCACGGACCTCCGAAAGGATATGTTTCTGCCGTTGTTCGTCCCCCTACCACTTAGCTCGTGCTTCCTGGGAAGGTCGCACCTCGGCATCAGGTCGGTCGGCGTGGTTCCTCGCGATCGTCACCACTATCCAGCTGCATGCGGCAAGTCCCGCTACCGTGCCGGCCCAGTGCTGTCGGAAGGCACCTGTCCGAGGGGATACAGGGCGCCGTGACATTAGAGTCTGGCGGCGGTTGGGGTGACGAATAACGTTAAGAACGCCGTCATTTACCTATACCGCTACCCTTTCTTCGTCCTCGCATGTAGGAGGTTCTGGTCAGAACACAGCAGACGAGAGGTCTGAGGCGCCTCGACATCGTTACGTTTTCGTTTCCTCTGGATTTAGATTGGACCATCCGAACTCTTGACGGCACGCGTATCCCTGGGGGGCGGGCCACCCTGGTACTCACGCAGTTGTCCGGGTTTGCGTCCTTGCATTACTCTCGGCTTCTGGCCCCGGTCGTCGTGTGTCCCGACTCCCTGGTGTCCGACGCTTTGCACACTTGCACGCTGGCAGTTAGACTCCGCTCCAGCTGTCCCCCCCACCCCCCGGGTCCGCCGCTGGGCTGCTGCGTGAGGGCTCGGTTTGCCGCTGCAGGTGTAGCCTCCCTCCTTCGCATTCGGCTAATTCGCCGCTGCGTGCCCCGCTTTGACTGGGCTCGCCGCCGGCGCGCTCGCCCGCGGCCGCTGACAACGAAAAAGTATCCCCGGGGGGGGGGGGTCCCTCGGCGGCAGCTCCGGCGGCCGTGAGTTCGCGTGCTAGGTAGTCGGGCTTCGCTCGTAGCCCGGGCTGACGTCGGACGCCGCCTGCGCTTTCGCTTGCGGCCGCGGCCCCAAGAAATCCCCCGGGGGGCAGCTGCTTCCTTTGGAGAGAGACAGGGGAAGGAGGACACGGAGGAGGCAAGGAGGGAAGAGAGGAGGGGTAGAGAAAGAGGAATATGAGGAGAAGGAGGAGATTCAGGAGGAAGAAGGAGAGGATGGAGGAGAAAGAACCAGAGGGCCACGACGACAACGACGACGATGACAGGAGTTAACCATCAGTGCCTTTGCTGGTCTTTTGTTTTGGGAGCCTCTGGGGAGCCTCTTGGGGTTATTGTGTGGCTGTCTTGGGGTTATCTTGGAAGCCTTTCGGGTCCTCTTGGGGCAATTTTGGAGGCGCTTGGGGTCCTCTTGGCGCTCTCTTGGGATTATCTTGGAGGCCTTGGGGTCCTCCTGGGGCCATCTTGGGGACCTTTGATCAAAGAAGGGGACGTTCTTAATCACTTCCCCCCCATCGGAGGTCGAACAATTATCTCCTGGTGCCCTCTTGATGCTCTCTTGGGCGCTCTTGGGGCCGTCTTGGGACCCTCTTGGGCCCTGTGGGGGCTCCGTTGGACCACCTTGGAGCCATTCGAAAGCCTGAAGAGCCCATCAGAAGCGAAACGGCGGGAATTTATTTCATTGTTCTTTGGTTTTGGAAGGACTATGGCCTCTCAGGGAGTCCTCGGTCTGCCAGCCTATTCGTCTTTGTTGGGGCTCTCTGCCCCTCCATGCATTGACACGCGTTCGTTCCCCGAGAGCGATTCTGCGCTGCCCCCGTGGCCGAGACTTCTAACGCAATTGGGCACGAGCCTGAGGAGAAGAGGACTTTTCAACAAAACTTCCCCGCCGACTCGCGCTGCCGCACTCGCTTCCAAGGGTCGGCAGGCAGGACTCGGGTGCTAGAGGCGACGATCTCTTGCGCACGCGGCACAGTGCGAACATCCTGGCCGCTGACCCATGACAGCATTCGGTATTGGCTACCGTGCCCCAGACTGGCGCCAGCACAGTGCCTGCGCAAGTGCACACCGGGCCCTCGCAGCCAGCAGCGCTGCTTAAGATAGCTCGCCCGGCCAGACGGTGCGGCGTTCGGAAGCCTGCCGCGCAGAGGCATGAGGATGGCCGCAGATTGAGAGACCGCCCTATTGTCGGGGCGTTGACCTAAGGAACCCTAAATCAGGAACGAGGCCCCTTTTGTCTCATAAGTTTAACTTCGAGTTCGCATGGGAAACTTTAGGACACCCCAAGGCAAGCTGCAAAACAGTCAAGGAACACCGAGCCCCTCCCCAACGGAAAAGGGTTCCTTCTTCAGCGCCCCAACCGTAGTCGGCCAGCATTTGAGTGCCGTCCTGGCCGGGCGTCAGCGCGAGGCGTCCACCGGGCGCACCACCTCGGGAAGCCACACGGGGTCGCCTGCGGCGGCCCAGTCGGCCGCAGCGGGGTCAATCCTCGCTCGCCTCTGCCTCTCTGGCCAATCTTCTTGCCACTACACATTGTTCATTTCTAAGTCTTCGAGGTCTTTGATTTTTTGGGGGGGGGCAAGATCCTTTCATTTCTAATTCTTCTATCCTGGGCCTCTTCCCGGCCACTAGGGGGCCAGGAACAGATAGAGACGAGCACAGTCAGAAATGAGAACGAAAAGAAATGAACGACGTGTACCCGAGTCAGTATGGTTCATGGCCCCGTCTGTGCCCCCTCTCTAGGCCTCCCAGATGGGGTCGGAGTAGATGGGGTCGGAGGATCGCGCCGCATCGCCGATACATCGGCGATGCATGAGCGATGCGGCTTGATGCTGGGCCCCAGTTTCTCCACGCCGACGTCGGCGATGCATCGCCGACGTCGCCAGTGCATGGCCGATGCATCGCCGATGTATCGGCGATGCATTGCCGATGTATTGGCGATGCGGCGAGATCCTCCGACCCCATCTACTCGGACCCCATCTTGGAGGCCTCTACCCCCCCCGATGTTAAGTCAGCCCACCTCTTCGGCCGATCCAGAGGGGTATCCTGAGGCTTGCAATCGACGCCCAGCAGGGCTATGAAGGTCGCGAGGAGTCCGACGGAGGCTCTCTTCCAGGGTATGGTGAGGCAGTCCATGAGGATGGTGAAGGCCGACAGCGCCGTGAACGTCGAGGTGAAACAGTCAGGTGCCCCGCAGCTTATCGACCAGTACCTCATGTATGAACACATCTTGGAGGAGAAGAACGCTACTAAGGTGAAGATCGTGGATCAAATGTGGTTCCGAACGGCTGTGTTTGTCGCAACGCTCGCTAATGTGGTCGTCCTGGCCCTCGAGGCAGATTTCGACTGCTGGGTGGGTTGGTGGGACCTCAAATGCAGCAGCAGGGGTCAGGTCTGGCAGCTTCTGGACCTGATCATCACCGTTGCCTTCCTGGTTGAAATTTGTCTCCGCCTGTACTGCTTCGATTGGGCAGTGCTCTCCAGTATGGAGGGGGAGGGTGGCACGTGCAATCGCTATGCAAAGCACTTGCTGCTGCCAATTGCAGACTTGATTATAGTTCTGTTGCGAGTATCTGATGTCTTCATCCTCTCCTCCATGAGGGTGGCTTCGGGCTTGAAATTAGTCAGTGCTGTTCGAGTGGTGCATGCTGCCAGTGTCATAAAGTCTTTGCGCCTTGTCAAATTCTTCCGCGAGCTCTGGTTGATTGTCAGCGGTGTGGGCGAAACACTGAGCAGCCTCATTTACATCATCATGATCCTCATGACTGTTCTCTGGTGCTTTGCCATTCTTTTCACCTTGGCTGTGGAGGGGGACGGTCCCGATGGATTCGATTACTCGAACGCTGCATGGGGCACGAATGACTACTGGGGACATGTATCGAGCTCGTGCTTTACATTGTTCCAGGTCACCACTGGAGACAAGTGGGCCAGTTCCATTGTGCGGCCCCTAATTCAGCAGAGGCCTCTTTTGATTGTTCTGGTCGTACCCTTCTTATGCCTGACTGTCTTGGGTCTCCTCAACGGTATCATCGGCATCGTCGTAGAGAATGTGCTGAACAGCGCTCGTGCAAACGACGAGTCCGAGGGAAACGAGAAACGGACGATCGATGCGAAAATAATGGAGTCATTGAGGACGATCTTCGTGGAGGCCGACACTGATGGGAGCAACAGTTTGGAGTACGAGGAGTTGGTGGAGGCCGTGCGAAATCCGAAAGTTCGGCGGCGAATGCAGGTGCTCGAGCTTCCCATCAAAGATCTGGACCTGCTCTTCGCGATGCTTGACGAGGAGCGTACGGGCTCCATAAATATTGACGTATTCTTCCGCGGCTGCGCGCGAATGCGGGGGCCAGCCATGGCAGCTGACCTGCACCAGATGTCGATCGACTTGGACAGGAACATCAGCACCGCGGAGAACAACATCCAGGCTACGGAGAGCGTGAACGATGTGCTGGAGCTTTTGATCAACCAGCTCGACGTGGTGGAGGTGGACGTCGTCAGGGCCGACAGCGACGACAAGGACCCAGTGCTCATGGCCAGGCCACGGCCTCTGGTCGATCCTCCCCCCTGGCGAACGTCCCGATCAAAGGACGTTCGCGAAGGGCCCAGACCGCCCGGGAGTTGTTGAGCAATCTGTTTCCGGCTAATCCATCCTCTTCTCTAAGTGGGCGTGTGCAGAGGCGTATTCCGGTCTGCGAAGGGTTTGGTCGGGGACGCCTCTTGCGAGCCAGTCGTCCCTCGCGCGTGGCCTGCCTCGGCGCGCCTTGGCCAGCTTCTTGGGCCTCTTGGAAGTCTCCTGGGGCATCTTGGGGACCTCTTTGGGCCTGCTGGCGGTCTCGGGTGTCATCGTGGGGCGGAGGGCTCGACATGTCATTTTGAGTTCCCCCTCTTGGGCCGTTTAGGGGGCATCTTGGGCCCTCTTGAGGCCATCGTGGGCCGTCTTGTGGCCCTCTGTGGAACCTCTTGGTAGCCTCTTGGGGCGATCTTAGGGGCTGCTTGTGCCGTCTGGAAGCGCCGCAAGACCGAAAAGGCGAGAACGCTAGCGTCAGGAAGTTGATGATTTGTGCCCTTGCGTGGGCCTCCTGGAGCCCTCTTGGGGTGTCTTGGGGGCTGTCTTGGTGCCATTTTGGGAGTGTATCGGAGCGTTCTTCAGCTGTCTTCGGCCCCCCTCTGGCCGTCTTGGGAGCACCTCTTGGAGCCCTCTTGGCTCGGCTTGGGGCCCTCTGGCTTCCAGAAAAGCCACGCGACAACACGCGATACGCCCCAGTAGCGCCCAGATTTCGGGGCTGCGGGCCCCTTCAAGAGCATCCTGATCTTCAATACGGAGGGATCCAAGGGGCCTCAGGCCACTCCACCTCGGGGCACGGTGGTGGACTATGAGAGGTGAGCGTCGTACCCGCACGCGCACGAGTACGTACACGTCGTGCATACGTGCATCCGTAGATGCCTACCCGCATGTGCGCATGGCCTCGCACATGTGTACCTGCGTGCTCGTGGAAGCGCGCGAGCGCGCGCGCCGCCGCTGCGCTCGACAGCGCAGCCCTTCTTGCAATCGGTTGAGCACGGAACCCACGCCCATTCTCTCCCCGACAACACAACGGCCTGTTGAGGCTGAGCGCGCGCCCTGCAACTTTCCACCTGCCCGGCCGCCACCGCTGTGGGATCTCGCGCCGTTCCTCCCCAAGCAGCAGCAGCAGCCCGTTGAAGGTGAGTGCCACGCCCTTGGGACTTTCCACCTGCTCTGCCGCCGCCGCTGTGGCGTGGCGGCTACCGGTGCGGTGGCCTTGCCAGCGTCCTCTCGCACTGCACCAGCGCGGTCGCCGTCCGCGACACCGCTGGCGCCTCCAGCGCCGCGCCCCGCAGCCCCCCCCCCACCCGCAGCCCCCCCACCCTCGGATCACCGGGCGCGTTCCACTGCTCGCAAAGTGCCTACTCGCAAACGTCAGAAAAAACACATGTCTGCTTCGATGTAATTCATCGTAGATCCCCCTCTGCGGATCCAGGCCGTTTGCGAGTAGTTACTTTGCGAGTAGTGGAAAGCGCTCGTCTATCGGAGGAGAACAGCATTCAGATCCACCTCGTTCCAGCCCCTCCCCTCCCCCGGGAGAAGGGAACACGCTCGAGAGAGCGGGGAGCCTCACGGGGGACCCCCGAAGGGCCGTCCATCAATTTTTTGCTCGGGAGGAGAGCAGCTGGAGCCACGCTGCGAGAAGAAGACGTCGGGCGCCTGGGGAGGAGGGACCACCTTGGGCAACGATATGGGGGGGATAGTCATATGGGGGGCATGCGTCGACCCGCAGTCGCCAAGACATCGCGGCTAGGGGCCTCCGAGCCCCATGTTGCCCAGGAGCGTGCGGAGTCGCCATCGGGGGCCCATCGCCGCTCCATCGGCGATGCATGCCCGATGCCAGGTCGATGTGTCCCCCCCTATATGCCATCCCCCCCCCCCGAGATCGTTGCCCCTCGGACCACCAGGAAACTGGCTGACCCACGCTGGCTCTGACGGAGGGAGGAGGACGGATGCGGATCTGTATCGATTCTCGATTCGCACCCCGCGGTGCGAGGCTCTCTGGTCACTCCAGCGCCCCCACTGGCATCGCCGGCCTTCGACGCACGCCTCGACGCCCTACTGCCCAGGCGCCAGGAGGCGCTCTCACGGAGCCTCGCAGCTTCCGGTGCCGCAGGAGGCGCTGCCCTCCGCAATTCGAGGTCGTACGAAAGAAGCACCGTCCTCCCGCACAGCAAGGATGGGCAACCTTCCCAAGGGTGCCCTTTCGTCCCTGCCCTTTTCGGCCCCTTCCTGGCCACTCTCGCGGGAACAGCGCCAACGCTGGAACAGCGCCGAAGTGGCCTTCCAAGGCCCATGGCGTCCTCACCGTGCGTCCTCGCTGCACGGGCTGACTGCACGAGCCGAGCGACAATGCCGACAGCTCGCCCGACTGGGCCAGGCGCGCAGCCGCCACAGAGTTGGCGCCCGCTGCGTCCCCGACGCCGGCGCCTGCGCGCCCGCCAGCTCCGCCACCTGCGGCACCGTCTTCGGCACGTGCGCTCCGCCCGAGGGCCGCGGCGCAACTTCAACCCCCAACTGGGCTTCTGCCTGGCCCGCTCCCCGGGCGCCACCCGGGCGCCCACCGGTGCGCCAGCCTCGCCGACAGTGCCCGCGTCACCGTCCGCGGGCCCTTCGTCCAGGCCAGCGTCTCCTTGGCCCGCCGGGTCTCCGAGCCCCATCCGTGGACTGCGAGGCGTCGTCGTCGTCGTCGATGCAGGGGTAGTGTCGCCGAATGTCGGGCGATCTTCTTCTGCCTCACCAGCCTGGCGCGCACATCGGCCCGAGCCCGCTTTTTGTTCCCTTGGATGCCCATCCGTTTCTGCGCTGCTGCTGCTCCGAGCCTCACCTCTTCGCCGCCGGCGCCCCGGGCGAGGCCCGGCGGCGGCCTCTGGTCTTCCGCGTGGCAGCCTGACGCGCTGTGCAGTGGGGGCGCGCGCCAAGAAACCAATTGGATTTTGCCAGGGCGCCCTGGGTTTCTTGGATGTCGATGGGCCCCCAGTAAGATATCGACGATTCTCGATCGACGAATTTGGAGGTTCACGGAGCAAATCGCGGATTTCAGGGTTGGGTTTTTTGCGGCGTTTTTTTTGTGGGCGAGCCCCCACCGTATATTCGAGTCGGGCTTGTCCCTCTACAGGGGGAATATCCAAAAATAGTAAAAACATAGCCTGGGGGCTATATATATATATATATGTACCTATATATATATATATATATATATATATATATATATATATATATATGTGGACAATCGGGGGGTATTTTTGGAGTACTTGTGATTCTTCGTCCAAAACCCCCCTGTAGGGGGGCGCGCCCGACCTGAGGGTTGGGTTTCCTGCGGCGGCGTCTTGTGGCCGAGCCCCCACTGTAATGGAGGATGACGGTTCATAAATGCCTGGGGGTCGTGTTCACGCGGCGGCGCCCGGGATGACGATTAGAAAAAACCGGCCGCGGGCTGGAACACTATTTTTTTATCGTTCTCCTCCAGTCAGAAAATTGCAGAAATGGCGGAAAACTATTTCTTTAATCGT